GCGATTCACCGACATTCCCAGGGCTTGTGATAGTGCCTGACACATTGTAGGCACTTAACAACTGCTACTACTCCTGTCATCAGATCTGTTTTTCCAAATTCTTCTCTACAATTACTTTGCAATCCTTTTGAGACCAAGCCATGGTATGTGTTTTCTTCTCATTTTCTTGGTTTCTTCAATATGTTGTGATGTGTGTGGGTCTTAGAAAATAGGTCTGAGACTGGACCTGCATGATCCTGAGAAAGAAGGAACTCCTATGGTGACCACGTGAGAAGAAATTTTCACCTCCACACCTGGACATCACAGCAGGTAAAATTGACATGGCACAGACCCTGAGTCAGAGTACCAGCGTTGGAACTCTGCTTCCACCACACGCTAATTGGATGACCTTTGCTACTTACCAGGCTAAGTCTCACTTTCTTTGAGGACAGAATAGGCACACGGTGTTCTTATCATTTAAGGTTGTGATGAGAACTAAATCAAACAACACAAGAGATAAAGGATTTCAAAACTATTGTGGGCAGGCTTCCCCAGAGTTGTAAATACTTATTGATTGAAAAGTTCAGGTGATCTTAACTCACCATTAGTAAACACCTGAGCATTGTTTTTGAGCAAGGCCCTCTGGGAGTGAGATGAGCAAAGAAAAGAAAGAAACAGAGAAAAGGAGAGATCAGATACCACCCCTTGCAATCTGACTTAAGAGAAGATCTGGGGGAAACAAATATGGTGACAATAGCAGCTAGTATGCTTACTACGTATCAGGTGCTATCACAAGCCGTGTAAGCGTCCGATTATCCCAACAGTCCTGTGAGACAGCACTGGTGTTACTTTAGTTTCACTTTACAGATAAGGAAACCAAGGTGGGCACCGAGTACCCACAGCCACTTGGTCAGAGCCAGCGCCAGAGCTGCCATGAACCTGGATCCTGCATCCTTAATGCTGCCTACAGGATACATGGCAAGAGGGGATCTGGGCTTGGAGTTGGAAGTCTTGAGTTTGAATCAACCATACTCTCTATGTAGCCCTCTAGCTTTGGACTTGGAGTCTCGCTGTCTGTAAAAGGAGTTGCCATTCTCCACTGCCTGGTTTGCTGTGATCCGACACGAAGCTGAGCGTGACAACTCTGCACCGTGCCTGGCGTGCAGGACGTGTCTGATAAAATTTAATGCTTCTGAATCTGCACTGCCATTACTGTTCATTTACCAGAGCTTCTGTCAGCTAAATTGCCCTGAGCTCCCCAGATAAAGCCTGGACACTAAATATGAGAAGTCAATCCGGACTGTTACAAACATACCACCAGGGAATTATATATGAACCTGTAATCTACAGACAGTGGGCTATAAAGCCTTTTCATCATCAATCTCCCCAATAAAGCATTTTGAGGGGTAGGCATACGGCTCAGAAGTCAACACTTGGGACATTCTCATGCCTTGTCGGAATGCTTGGGTTTAAGCCCTAGCTCTGATCTCAATTCCAGCTTCCTGTTAATGCCCATCCCTGGAGGTTGCAGATGTCGGTTCTAGTACTTGGGTCCCTCCCACCTGTGTGGAGATCCAAATGAGGTTCCTGTCTCCTGGCTTCAGCCCGGCCTAACCCTGGCTATTGCAGGCATTTGGGAAATGTCAACACTCACCCCCAGGTTAAAGATTTCTTTCCAACTTCTTCACTCTAAAGATATGAAGGTTATTGTAGGTGATCTTCCATGGGGGGCACAAAAATACGCAGAATGCTGGAAATCTTTCTACCATTTTCAAAATGTCTTCATTAAATACATTTCTGTATTAAAAAAAATTCTCAACTCCCCCACTCACTGTTGGAACACCACCTTTACCATGAAATCCAAAGCTGCTGGAACTTTTCTTCCTTTCCTATATGGCTCCTAACTTGTACCCTGTTAGCAGCCACTTACCTGTCATCTCAAGAAAAGGTCAGCAAATTCGGAACACTTGTCCTTTTTGTTAAAAGAGGTCATTGTAAAACTGTCCATGCCACAAGATTTTCAGGATGATTCTCTGTCTTGGTACGAAGTGCTTCAAAGATTTTGGCATCTCCCACCGCTCCGTCACTTTTAGAAAGCAGATCAATCGCATCCGTGCTACCTGCGGCTCATGGTGCACCCCTGGCTCCAGCTGCTCTGCAGCACTCGTGGAACGGTGCGCTTCCACCCAGCGCACAGAGTCGGGGACTGATCCCGCCCCCATTGGACTCCTCTTCTAACCCCAGCCACACCAGCCACCCCATCAAATGTTATTTTACACCGTTGTTCCATGAGCACATCGTTTGTAGCAGAGCCGTTATTAGCAATGGAGATCACATCTCTTCTGGCATGCCTGTCTCTACTGGGTCACGGAGGAGCAGCACTGTCATGCTGTGTTACTGAAGCGGGATCCGCGTCTCTACCTCACCCAGCTGCAGAGCAAGCATCACCTGATTTGCCTCCATACTTGTCTCTAGAGTTTTCTCTGTGTCTGCCGGCTATATTAGCTAAGGATGAATGCTAGTTACATTCAGTCCTTCAGAAAGGATTTTTTTTTTTGAGGACTTAGTATGAGCCAGTCATGATTCTAGGTGCTGAGGAAGCAATGGACAAAGTTAAGTTTTCATGGAGCTATGTTCCTGTAAGGGAAGACACACAGTGTGAAAATTTCTAAAATCAAACACAATTGCAGGGTCGGCACTGTGGCATAGCGGGTAAAGTTGCTGCCTGCAGCGCTGGCACCCCTTATGGGTGCCAGTTCGTGTCCCAGCTGTTCCACTTCCAATCAAGCTCTCTGCTATGGCCTGGGAAAGCAGTAGAAGATGGCCCAAGTCCTTGGACCCCTGCACTCGCATGGGAGACCCAGAAGAGGCTCTTGGCTCCTGGCTTTGGATCAGCCCAGCTCCGACCATTGCAGGCATCTGGGGAGTGAATGGATGGAAGACCTCTCTCTCTTTCTGTCTCTGCCTCTGCCTCTCTATGGCTCTGTCTTTCAAATAAATAAATAAATCGTCTTATAAAAATGCACACACAACTGCCCCACATGTCCACAGGTCCCTCTTGGACACTATGATTTGCAGGTGTTCAGGTGTCTTATAGAAAATGGTATAGTATTTGCGTAGAACCTACCCACATCCTTACATCTTCTCTAGATTACTTACAATATCTAACATGGGGTAAAAATGAAAATAACTTCTATAGGACAAAAGTCTGTCCCTGTTCAGTATAGGTACCAATTTAAAAATTTTATCTTTTTAACATGTGACTGGTTGACTCTATGGAGATAGAATCATCTGATAATAATGGCTGATTGTGTACAAACCTACTTCAAAATGTTCGTGGAAAATAGAATTAAAGATAAGTTTATGTTGGTGCAAAGAAATTTTTGAAAACTATGTATAGTTTTTTCATAACACATTTTCTGTGAACTTTTTGAAGGTTTCCTTATCTGCATGGATTTCAAAAGTCTTTACACCAAAATGAATTTACCCTTTATTTCTCTTTCCTATGAACTTTTTGAAGTACCCATTTAAGTCAGGGGCAAAGGCTCTAAAGAAAATCTTGGGGGCCGGGGTTGTGGCAGAGCAGGTAAAGCTATAAATATCGCATCTGGGCACTGGTTCGTGTCCCGGCTTTTCCTCTTTAGATCCAGTTCTCAGCTAATGGTCTAGGAAAAGCAGCAGAGAATGGCCCAAGTGTTTGGGTCCCTGCTGCCCACATGGGAGACCTGGATGAAGCTCCTGGTTCCTGGTTCCTGGCTTCAGCCTGGCCCAACCCTGGCTGTGCGGCCATCTGGGAGTGAACCAAGAGATGGAAGATCTCTCTTTCTCTCCTCTCTCTCTCTCTCTCTGTAACTCTTTCAAGTAAACAAGTAAATCTTGAGAGAGAGAGAGAGAGAAAGGAAGGGAAGAGGAGAGGGGAGGGGAGGAAAGGAAAGGGGAGGGGAGGGGAAGTAACAGAAGAGGGGAGGGGAGGGGAGGGGAGAGGAGGGGAGGGGAGAACCTCTTCAAGCTATCCTCACAGAGAGTGGCGAGGCAGCCACTCTGGGTAAGGAGAAGACCCTCTGAGAAGCTGAGCCTGTGTGTGTGGATGGTGAAAGCCATGGGTTACTGTTATCTTGGAGAAGAGTGTATCAGTACAAGGAGCAGTAGGGCCAAAGGCCCTGAGGCAAGAGCTTGGTGGGAATGCAAGGCCACCGTGCCTGGAGGCAGAGCGAGATGGGGGCAGCCTGGGGAAAATCACGTAGGGCCTTCAGAGCTAGTGCGAGGACTGTCAGTTGTATTCCGAGCAAAATGGAAAGTCACTGGGGTTACTCAACAGAATGCAACATGAGCTGATTTAGGGTGAAAAAGATTTCTCTAGCCCACCATGGAGAACAGTGTGCAATGTGGCCAGGCAGGAACAGGGGATCAATTTAAAGCATCCATATGATAGACAGACCGAATGACAGCAGTAAGACGGTGAAACACTGAACGATCCTGTTCGGATGTGGAACCAACAAGATCTGTAGATTTGAATATAGAGAAAGAGATAGAAAAGGGTTCGAGTAGCTCTTAGCCTAAGCATTTGATGACTATAGTATCTATTTATGGGGCTGGAGACGTCTGAAGGCAGGACAAGGAATGGAGATCAAGAATTGTACTTGGAGGGCCAGCTGTGTGGCACAGCAGATTAAGCCACCACTTTCAAGGTGGCTTATCCATCATCCACACATGGAGCGCCAGTTCAAGTCCCCGACGCTCTGTTTCCAAACCCGCTCCCTGGAGGTGTGCCCTGGAAGGCAGCAGAAGATGGCTGGAGGAATTGGGTGTCTGCCACTCACATGGGAGATCCAACTGGAATTCCGGGCACCCGGCACTGGCAGCCTGACCCAGCCCCGGCTGCTGTGGCCATTTGAGGGGGTGAACCAGTGGATGGAGGATCTCTCTCTCTCTCTCTCTCTCTCTCTCTCTTGCTCTCGCTCTGTCTCTCCTTTCTGTCACTCTACATTTCAAATAAATCCTTTTTTTTTTTTTTTAAAAAAAGGATTCAATGTGGACAAGGTAAGTTGCAGAAGACTGTAGACCTCCAGATGAAGGTGTCAAGAACTCAGTTGTGTGGTTGAGTTTGGAGTTCAAGAGGAAGCATTTGGAGTAGAAAAATCAGTATGGGATTTGTCAGTACATAGTTGATACTAAAAGCCTTATCGCCATATTTTCACATGCATTACTTCAGCTGTATTTATTGCAGTGGGTAGAACAACTATTTGTCCCACTTCTAAGTAAGAAATCACAAAAGAAGCTTTTAAGCATTTTCCATTACGCTTATTAACATTTTAAGACTTTGCATCGAATAGTACATGATTTTAGATCAGCGAGAAAGATTGCAGACATTTTTATGGTCTTTTGAATCCTGCTGGCTTCATGCTGTTATTAGCTAGTATCTTATGATATAGCACAGTCAGGTGAGGGCCATTGTTAGTGGTAGTGGGTGCAAATTAGTATTCATCCAACGGCGTAGTAATTTTGCTGAAAAAGATAGTTCTGGAAACAAAACAGTCGCTGCCACTTTTTCTCTTATTCCCTTAGGCTTATCCTATTATTGCACTCTATCCACAAAAACTTCTTCTTTTTTTGGGGGGGGTGGATTTTAATTTATTTTAGTGGTAGGGTTACAGACAGTAAGAGGGAGACAGAGAGATCTTCCATCCACTGGTTCACTCCTCAAATGGCCGCAGTGGCCGAAGCTGAGTCTATCCAAAGCCAGGAGCCAGAAGCTCTTCCATGTCTCCCACATGGGCGCAGGGGCCCAAGCACTTGGGCCATCTTCCACTGCTTTCCCAGGCATAGCAGAGAGCTGGATCACAAGAGGAGCTGCCGGGACTAGAACTGGCGCCCATATGGGATGCTGGCACTGCAGGCGGAGGATTAACCTACTGTGCCACAGCTCCAGCCCCCATAATAGCTTCTTAAGCTAAGGGTCTATTTTGCAATAACTAGCTTGGTTAACCCTAGATAACATCATCCATAAATCCACTGTCACTGACACCATGAACTGCCATCCATCATGGCAATATGCAAAAAAGGAGAGGTGTCGTCTTCAATCCCTGGAGAAGTTTGTTTTCACTTAAGATACTCTCCTTTACTAACAAGAAATGTGACATGACTCAGGCATGAAGGTGCCCACGCCTGTCCATGAGTTACAGATCACAGGAACTTACCTTTCTCTAAATGGTTTTTTTTTGGACAGGCAGAGTGGACAGTGAGAGAGAGAGAGACAGAGAGAAAGGTCTTCCTTTTCCGTTGGTTCACTCCCCAATGGCCACTGCAGCTGGCGCGCTATGGCCGGCGCACCGCGCTGATCCACAGCCAAGAGCCAGGTGCTTCTCCTGGTCTCCCATGTGGGTGCAGGGCCCAAGGACCTGGGCCATCCTCCACTGCACTCCCGGGCCACAGCAGAGAGCTGGACTGGAAGAGGAGCAACTGGGACAGAATCCGGTGCCCCGACCGGGACTAGAACCCAGTGTGCCGGCGCTGCAGGCAGAGGATTAGCCTGTTGAGCCGCGGCGCCAGCCACCTTTCTCTAACTTTTTAGAAAAAAATTAACATAAATAGAAATTTCAATGTGTTCTTCCTGCCTCTCCCCACCCCACTCTGTGCCTCCTCCCTTGCCCTCAACATCAGCTCTCTGCTTTGGTCCGGTCCTCTTACTGTCAAAGAGAGTGACAAATGAGGCCATGTGAGAGTCACAATGGAGACTGGGCCTAGAAGTGAAATAAACAGAATGCCCATTAACACCTCATTTATCGCACACCACAGTGACACAGAATGAAAGACCAAGCTTCAAACAGAGAACACAGAGTAGCCGAAGTGCCCTTGTCAAACTGTAAAGGCTTGTCTGTAAACTATTTAGAAAATTAAGCTGTGCTCATTTTCTCCCCTGAGGCCATGGGTATGAAGCTGTTTTTGTAGGCTGGCCAAAATTTAACTGGAAAAATCATGGCTTTTGCAACTCTGTGTGGCATCCGCAGCAAAATCGGCTATTCCCAATGGATTGAGAACTTCTTTCCTTAGCTCAGTACTTGAACTTGAACTTCATTCCAAATGGCTCAGTACACCTAACATTTTATTTAGAAATTGAGTGATATTTATTTTACACTCTATCAGAAACTGAAAACTTGTTTTATTCAACCACAAAATAAGCAAATTTTGTTTACTTTCTCTGAGTAACTAAGAAGTTTTTTTAAGATTTATTTATTTGAAAAGCAAAGTTAGAGAGAGACAGAGACAGAGACAATCTTCCATGGGCTGGTTCACTCTCCAAATGGCTACAATGGCTGGGGCTGGGGCTTGGCCAGGCCAAAGCCAGAAGAGCCTGGAACTCCATCTGGATCCCCCACGTGGGTATAGGAGCCCACATATTTGGGTCATCTCCTGCTGCTTTCCTAGTGCATTAGCAGGGAGCTGGATTGGAAGTGGAGCAGCCAGGACTCGGGACATGAACTAGGACTCATGTGGTGTCACAGGCAAAGGCTTAACCCACTGCACCACAATGCTGGCCTCAAAACACCTTTTTCAACAGTAAGCCTGGTTTTTTAAAGATTTATTTTTATTTATTTGAAAGTCAGAGTTACGGAGAGAGGCAGAGACAGAGAGAGAGGACTTCCATCCACTGGTCCACTCCCCAGATGGCTGCAACGGCCAGAGCTGCGCCGATCCGAAGCCAGGAGCCAGGAGCTTCTTCCAGCTCTCCCACGTGGGTGCAGGGACCCAAGCACTTGGACCATCCTCCACTGCTTTCCCAGGCCATAGCAGAGAGCTGGATCGGAAATGGAGCAGCCAGGACTAGAACTGGCGCCCATATGTGATGCCGGTGCTTCAGGCCAGGGCTTTAACCCACTGTGCCACAGTGCCAGCCCCTACAGTAAGCCTAATAGTAAAGCTGGTGGTGAGAATGTGAATGGCTTTCCTCAGTGACCTAACTCCAAATTACTTGACTGCTATGCAGTACAGTCAGGGTTCCCAAATTCAGGATCACACTCCCAGCGCCTCCTTTTCTTCTGTAATTCACAGGATTACATTCTCCTCTTGCTCACAGAAACCCAAACCAGAGCGCATTGAACATAGCAGCTACTATTCAATCATTGGAAGCGCATTAGCAGGCACGCACCCCAAACTAATCCAACACCAGTCACACGTGTCTGGCAGAACTGTCTCTGTAAAGCAGAATTAGCTGGTTGCACTCTGAGGAGCAACACTGTACAGAAATGGCTCAAGTTCAACCACTAACCATGACACTGTGTAGCCAAGCTGCTTGTAACTAGGGCTTCCATGGACTTATGGGACAACCAACAGCAAAGCTAAGGCAGAATTTTTATAAAAGCGAGGCAGAAAAAGGGTGAGAAATGATCTAGGTATTTTTCCAAGAAGCAAAGACATAGTTGACTTAGCAGAGATTCCCAGGAGCTGGCGATGATGTGCAGTGTGTTAAGGTGCCACCTGGGGTTGCCAGCATCCCATAGCAGAGCGCTGGTTTGAGTCCTGGCTGCTCTGTTTCCGACCCAGCTCTCTGTTCATGTGCCTGGAAAAGCAGCAAAGGATGGCTCAGGTGCTTGGGCACCTACCGCCCACATGGGGGACCTGAATGGAGTTCAAGGGTTCGGCTTCAGTCTAACCCAGCTCCAGCCATTGTGGTCATTAGGGAGTGAACCAGTGGATAGGAGCACCCTTTCTCTATCTCTTTACTTTTCAAATGAATAAAATAAACCTTAAAAAAAGGTCTCCCTGAAGATGGAGGAGGTATCCAGAATTCACTCTAAGGAGCTGGAGGACTTCATGCTTTCGCCTCCCACTGCAATACCACCTCCTGCAAGTCCTGTCAGTTCTTCAGTCCTGGGAGAAAGGGAGCTTTATCACCCCTACCCTCACCCTTGGTGGGCTTCACAAGCCAAGTAACAGACTCTACCTTTGGAAAGAACGGGGGAAACGCTGTGCAGTCTGACCAAGTGGCTAATCTAGCTGTGTGTCTTGAATGTGTTTTGAAAATAAGCTCAGGCAGCTTGTTATACCTCTGGGCCAGAGCTCTTTCATCTGATTATCCAGATCTGCTCTCCATCCTCCCCGCCCTCGGATGCTGACCTGTGTGTATGGACTCAGGAACATACACCCTTGCTCTCGGGCTGGGGGCGGGGCACCTTAGAAAGAGAAAGGAGAATGGGAATACGATCAAACAGGGTTAATTCCCTGCTCCCTCTATTAGCCTGGCTGTGTCCTCCAAATCACTGCTCCTTGGGGTTGCAGTAACCACTTCCTTTGTACTTCCTCTGATTCTAGGGATGGGCTGGGAAAGGCCTAGCTTCTGTAAGTACCAGGTCACTGCACTCGCCTTGTTGGTTTCCTTAAACTCACAGCTTTATAAACAGTGTCTCACAAGCCCTCCTGAAAATTCAGGTTCAGCATTTACTGTCTTCACCGTTGGGCCCCTGCTTGACAAACAAATTCTCTTAAAGGAATGCTGCAGAACTGACAGTCTGGGCGCTAGCAGGCAGCTGCAGAGGGGCAGAAGTCTTGCAGAATACTAGGACTGACTTAGAAAGTCAAGTTTTCTCATGGTTCCTGGATCATGGAGAAAATGAACAATCCCTCCAATAAGGTAAGTTGGGAATGACAACATGTATAAAAGGATTTACAGGGTGCAGAGACACCAGAGGGGAGCATGCAGCCCCTCGGGCACTTACAGACCAGTGGTCCCATCCAAGCCCAAAGAGCAGAGGACAGTGAGTAGTTGCCGGAACATGGTAAAGAGAGGAAGAAGACAGTGAGCCTTCAGGGGAGGAGTGGCTGGCCACAGCCAACCCATGAAGACCCCACTGGGGGCAGTCGAGAGAGCTGACTGTGCCGCCTTCCCGTCCTCTCCTCCCCTGCTGGGAATTCCCACTGAGCAAACCCAAGAAGGCAGAGAGCAAGAGAGTACCTCAAGGCAGGCGGCATCCTGGGCAGAAGCAATGGAAGAGAATCCGCACAGTTCCCAAGTAGAGGTGCAATTTTTTAAACATATGAATTCCCAATAGCCACCCCCCGACACACACACACACTCTAAAATCAGAGTTCGTTTATCAGGATGGAGCCTAAGGGACCTATGCTTTCTTTAAAAAAAAAAAAAAGAAAAGAAAAGAAAAGAAATTACTTAAGTGATTCCAATGCTCAACCACATTTGGAACCCCTAACTTTATAAGACACACAAATGACCTTGAAGATTTCAAAGCAGGTCACACAATCCCCTCTCACCACAAGCCCGACAAGGACCAAATCATCTTAAGAATCTTCTACAGAGTGATTGCATTTGGTGCTATTATAGTGTCCTATCTGGGGAAGCACTTATCAAAGAAAGAGTCCTGTAGCTTTCTAGCCACAAGCACTAATGCTTAGGTTGGCTGGGCTGAAGGATAAGTTTTGTGCACTTGAACATTATCGTCCTTTTACCCCCTGAGTAGAAAATACCAGCAATAGCTCCAAAAGAAAGACCCAGTTCCTTGAAAACACTTGTCATGGGGCCAGACTCTCAACTTTTAATGGTAGAACCTCAACTGGCAAAAGCTTGGCTGTATTTCCACAAGGACCATTCAATGGCAAGGCATGTGGGTTCCAAAGCTTCATTTAAAGCTCATTCTCTCCATCATGATCATCAAAGCGAAGCCAAGCAGGGGGAAAAAAATGGACTGGACTCTAGAATCTTGGCTTCAGAAAAGCCTATTAATTCAATTTAATAAAACTTACAAACTCCCAGTAATCCTCCAGGTGCTCTTAAAATTGAAATTGATTCTGTGAAACTGCTTTTTCCTACCGTCATTAAGCAAAATTCCATTGTAACTCAATTCTTAACAGGGGAGACACGAACGAAAAGTATGCTATCCAGAAATACAGGCTGCGGTGGTGGCAGGAGCTCCAGGCGGGAGACGAGCAGCTGTGTTCCCCATGCAGACCTCGCACTCGGCTGCTCCTGCGGGCTCTGGGGCTGGCAGCAGCTCATTTTCCCAGGCGATGCCATGGAGATGGGCATCTCCCACTCTGCAGTCACAGAGCTCTGTGGGGTGGCAAGTCGTCTTCCCCAAAAAGCAGCTTCACAATTAATGCACCCAACTTTCAAAAGAAGTTTGGGTAGGAGATTGGAGGAGGGGGTGTGAAGAAGCAGAAGTTTAATTATTTATTCACATGATCAGGATAACAATAAGCCTGCAGCGGCCAGCAGAAGTTGGAGCTGGGGAATGAAGGTTTTCCTTGTACGCCATGGCTGGAATTGCTGGCCTCTCGGGTCCTGCACCCTGACAGTGTTCCACATGCCATGGCACCTTGAGCCAAGACTCTCTAGTGTCTCCTTTTCTCCACATGATAAATGAAAAAAAAAAAAATGTGTATACTTACCTTAAGAATGCTCCCAGAGACATTTCTTTTTTTCTACCCAGATGGCCCTCTAACTCCAGGACACATGGCCCTGATTTTGCATGAAATGCTGCAGAGAATGCATGAGAGCCCAAATGGCTGTCAGGTGATGTTTTTCCCCTTGGAGAGGTGACTTTAAAAGCACTCAGGTATGAGCTGGAGCGCCGCAGCTCACTAGGCTAATCCTCCGCCTTGTGGCGCCGGCACTCCGGGTTCTAGTCCTGGTCAGGGAGCTGGATTCTGTCCCGGTTGCCCCTCTTCCAGGCCAGCTCTCTGCTGTGGCCAGGGAGTGCAGTGGAGGATGGCCCAAGTGCTTGGGCCCTGCACCCCATGGGAGACCAGGATAAGTACCTGGCTCCTGCCATTGGATCAGTGCGGTGCGCCAGCCACAGTGCACCGGCCACAGCGGCCATTGGAGGGTGAACCAACGGCAAAGGAAGACTTTTCTCTCTGTCTCTCTCACTGTCCACTCTGCCTGTCAAAAAAATAAAAAAAAATTTTTAAAAAAGCACTCAGGTGGAAAGTGGCTAACAGATCAGGTCCTAGAAATAGCTCTGTTTTCTTACTGTAGCAAGAAAGGGTTTTTAGTAGATTATCCAATTTTTTTCTTCTTTAATTCCTATTTTTCCATATTCCAGGACTGTCTGCATTTCCCACCATGCTGATGACGGAGCATGCATCACCAGGGATGGGTGCTCCTGCCTCTCCGTGGTGTGAATTTATGGCTGACAAGTGACTGTCCAGCCAGGGACTGCATTTCCCAGCCCCGATGCACCAGGTCAAGGTCAGGTGCATGAGTTCTAACCGCAGCAGTATGAGTAGAAGTGATACAGGCTACGTCACAGCCATCTGCACACTGTCACCAGAGAGCCCAGGAACAGAACAAGATGCTACACTCAGTAAGGAGATTCCTTACGTCAGTTCAGGAACACAGATGTGTCCTCTCCTCCTTCAAGTCCCACCGCACACATTCCCCTTAGACATCCCTGGGTCGCCTCCCTAAACAACAGCTGTCGTGTGCCTGTTTAGCAATCAAACTCAAATGCCTAGGATATCACAAAATCTTTCATGAACACAAAACCTCACTTTCTAAATTTTGTGTGTGTGTGTGCATGTGTGTGTGTGTGTGTGTGTATTTGAGAGGCAGAGAAACAGAGACAGAGGAAGAGAGCGTGGCCCATCCACTGGTTCACTCCCCAAAGTGCTTTCAATGGCTAGGGCTGAGCCAGACCAAAGCCTGGGCTTGGGAACTCAATCCAGGTCTCCATCAGGATTGGCAAGAACTCAACACCTGAGCCATCACCTACTGCCTACCAGGGTTCACACCATCAATTGGGAATCAAAGCCAGGATTGGAACCCAGGTTCTCGGACACGGGACATGAGGGTCCCAGTTGGCAGCCTGACTGCCAAGCCATGTACTTGCCCCAAAATCTCATTTTTAAAAGAGGAAGAATTATCTCCATTTAATAGGACTTCAGTTGAAGAGAGGCAAGTGACTAGTCCAAGATTTGAAGCCACATTTCCTGATTTCAGCGGCAGCAGTGGTGGTATTTTTTCATAGTTCCTTCTTCTGGACAGTGGTAGCCAATGGCATCCCCAGGCATTCCAAAAAAAAAAAAAATACCTGAGGTTAGCCAGCTGTAGCCCACCTGTCTGTAAGGAACAGCCTACTTGAGCCAAAAGGAAAAAATAATAATTTCTCCAAATTGTTGATCTACTCGAATGCCTAGGCCATGAGGGTCTGGCCATCTGTCTACCATTCTCCTTGCATAACTGACCACTGCCAGGTGTCATGCCAGCTGGCATGGATTAATTACTTAGTATAAATCAAGTCCACTATAATTAATCATGCAAACTTGAGCCCTTTATATCCACTGCTGCTAGACACAAAGCATACACCTAGGACACTATGACGGCTTAGTGACCGAAATGAAGATAGGAAGAAGGCCTTGAATGCACTTGGTTTGTGTTGAATCAAGTCCAATGCTCATTTGCCCAGCAGTGACCCTCTCCACTCACTTTTGCAATCCATGAAAAATTCATGTGGCTTGAGCACCTATAGATTTCTGATCTTGTGACCCACTACAGAAAACCCTCAACCAAACGCTCTGTGAACCATCCCCTTTGCTTGCTTCCACCTACCAGCTCAGTACATTCCACACCCACTGGCACAAGACACAGGAGGGCATTGCTAAGGTTACCATGGCAGCCCTCCATTGACCCCCCCTACCCAGGGCTCCCAGGGGACATTCGCCCACACCATCCTCTCTATCTGGGGACTACAACACCTTTGTCACCTTTGTTCCCCCCAGGGGCTTGGTCGGTCTGTGCTGTTGATGGCTTCAGCAGTTTACCAAGTAGGAAATTAGAGTTATGGGTTGGTAACTTCCTGTGAACTTCTTCCTTCACTTCTTAGAGTTTGGTGCTAATTTAATCCTTGTAAGACTCTGTTACTTAGATGCTCTGAAGGTGGTTCCCAGGCTGGGTGTTTATCTATAAGACTCATCAAAGCACCCTGACTGCCAACGTGTCTCTGGCTGACATCAGATACAAGATTGGGCACACAAAGCTTATTTAGCCAAAAGCAAAGACTTGAGAACAAATTAAAGGCCCAACTAGACAGAAAATGCCAAAGCCAGGGAGAGGAAGCTTTGTGTTGTTCTCATAAGGACCACAGAGCTGGACTTTACCGTTTGGTGGGCAGGGAAATCAAACTTCTGCCCGGGAGACCACAGGTGGCAAATAGTCCCCTCTCACAATTCAGTGACCAAGGCAGTGGCCCAGCCGATCCCACAGCAGTATCATTCAAATGTGTCCAACCAAGGAAAGCCCAGACAGGGACAGACGGTCCTCACAGAAAGCAGTGCCAGCCCACCAACGCCTCTTCCCCTTCCCTCCCCCTCCCCTATAGTCCTCCTCCACCTCTACCACCCCCACCCACGTCTTTCTCCTAAGGTCTCTTGGGTGTTGCTGGGCTGGAATGACTCATTGCACAATGAATGCCTGGTTTAACTCTACCCCCAACTCACAAGTGACTGAGCTACTGGGGCCCAATTTATTTCATCAACCTTCTTAATTCCCGAAGAAAGATTGGCGACAAGTCTTGTCGAAGACTTGACCATCCGAGACATGGCCACTTTCTTTGACTTGGACCAAAGAAGCCTTTGATCTACAGAAACATTTTCCCAATCTTATTTCCACGACTGCCCTACTCCCCCAGCAAGGGGACTTTTAAAATACTGTTTGTTCTAATTGCTCACCCAACCTGGGCAATTCTAATACCACAGATTTATGTAATGTGTACCTATGTGACCATTGCATGTATTCTGTGAATTATATGTGAAAAGAGTAAGATTTAGGGAATTGACATTATGGCACAGTGGGTTAAGCTGCTGCCTGCAGCACCAGCATCCCATATGGGCATTGGGTCAAGTCCTGGCTGCTCCACTTCCAATCCAGCTCCCTGCTAATTCACCTGGGAAAGCAGCAGAAGATGGCCCAAGTCCTTGGGCTCCTGCCACCCATGTGAGAGACCTGGATGGAGCTCTTGGCTCTTGCCTTCAAGCCTGGCCCACTCCTGGCTGTTGCAGCCATTTGGGGAGTGAACCAGCAGATGGAAGATATCTCTCTCTCTCTTTCCCCTCCCTGCCCCTGCCTTCAAATAAATAAATAAATCTTTTTTTAAAGAGTAAGATTTATACATTTCTGTGCTTTATACATGGAAAAACTAATTTTTTGTTTTGTTTTTGCCTTCAAAGAAGCAATCTGGGAAGGAACATCCAGACTTAAATGCATGCAAAAGGTTTGATCAGTAGAGCCAGGTGCATCTGTGAAGTGGAGAGAATTGAGTATCTGGTAAATGGGAAAGGACAAAGGAGTCCCCAGGAAACAGGGGGACCCGGGGTAGATCTATGTTTTTTTTTTAATATTGTCAGGGTCAGACATGAAGCTAGGTCTTTTTTTTTTTTTTTTTGACAGGCAGAGTGGACAGTGAGAGAGAGAGAGACAGAGAGAAAGGTCTTCCTTTGCCGTTGGTTCACCCTCCAATGGCCGCCGCGGCCGGCGCGCTGCGGCCGGCGCACCGCGCTGATCCGATGGCAGGAGCCAGGAGCCAGGTGCTTTTCCTGGTCTCCCATGGGGTGCAGGGCCCAAGCACCTGGGTCATCCTCCACTGCACTCCCTGGCCACAGCAGAGGGCTGGCCTGGAAGAGGGGCAACCGGGACAGAATCCGGCGCCCTGACCGGGACTAGAACCCGGTGTGCCGGCGCCGCTAGGCAGAGGATTAGCCTAGTGAGCCGCGGCACCGGCCCTGAAGCTAGGTCTTCTTTACTGACACAATGGCATCTACTCAACCACAGAAGGCACAAATACCACCTCCAAAACTGCCTTTCCCCTCAAGTAGACAGTACAAGTCCTTAGGAGAAATGTTATGGTGCTGGCACTCTGGCAGAGCAGGTAAAGCTGCCTCCTGCAATGCCGGCATCCCAGATGGGCGATGGTGAGAGTCCGGGCTGCTCCACTTCCAATCCAACTCTCTGCTATGGCCTGGAAAAGCAGTGGAAGATGGCCCAAGTCCTTGGGCCCCTACACCCACATGAGAGACCCAGAAGAAGCTCCTGGCTCCTGGCTTCAGATCGGCATAGCTCTGGCCACTGCGTCCAACTGGAGAGTGAACCAGCGGATGGAAGACCTCTCTCTCTCTGCTTCTCCTTCTCTCTGTGTGTAACTCTGGATTTCAAATAAATAATAAAAATAAATCTTTAGGAAAAAAAAAGAAATGTTATGCCTGATTTTGCCCCATGAGAAACACCTTTATCAGAACAAAGCCTTCTCCTGCCCCCAGTCCCATCTGTGATACACACCCGGCTCTGCTGCCTCCCTCCAGCTGTCCTGCACACCAGCCCCAGCCCCTCCAAGGAGCTCTGTGCTAGTCAGAGTCCATTACAGTGTTCTGTAATTAGCCAAGAGTATTTTAGACCCGTATTTTTATTCCTCATCTCCTTGATTGATTTTTTAAATTATGTGTCAGCATGAAGGTGTTTAAAAAAAAAAAAACACTTAACTCAGCAGCAATTAACTGCAACGCTTTTAAAAGCTTAGTTCTCATTTCATAGGTCTCTAAGAGCCAGAAATAATATCAATAGTGAAATCAAGTTGTATTTTACCTCTGGATACAAAGGCAGCAAATGGCTTTAGCGGCACTAGTATCTAAGGCAACATTTGCTAATCTTGTCCTTCTCTGCCTCATGTCTAGCTGTCAAAACTTCCTAGGTGCACACACCATGGGTGAAAATATATTTGCACAAGATTTAGGTAAAGTGGGCATTGCTTATCAAGACGGTGTTTGAGAGAATGTTCCAGATTGCTGGCCCCTGTCAGAATGTTGATGCTTTTTTTGTGGACAATGCTTATGTTTAGGACAGTTAGTGACATTCTCATCCATCATCCAGAACTGAAAAAGCTAAACCTCAAAACGTGTAACTCTCAGCAAGTCTATTCTCAGCTGAGAGTAAGAAGTAGAGGCAAGAAAGAACCATTCAGTGGCCTCTTGGTCAAACACGGTTTAAAAGGCTCCTGGCTGGCAGGAAGCTTAGAGACCTGGTTGTTCTCACCAACAGAGAGCAAAGAACTCACTCCAGAGTTTGACACACACCTGGAGATCAGACTTTGTCCCAGGTATATATGTTGAGATAATCGTATCCAAGGATCAGTGAAGGATCCTAGCCATCCACGCAATAATCAAGTTAGGGAGGAGACTAAGAGAGTTGGTGGAAGAAGAATCCATCCCATCATTGGTCATTGCACAAAGACAGAGCCTGAGACCTGGCAAACTTGTTCACTCCACAGCCTTCCACCTGCCAAGCTTCCTACTCCATTGTCCCTTTCAACACTGTCCTTGATGCCAATTTTAACCACATTTCACCTTCAACTGTTTTTCTTGAAGATTTTATTTATTTGAAAAGCAGAGTTATGCAGGCATGCGGGGGAAGGGAGAGAGGGCAGGAGATATCTTTCATCCACTTCCATCCACCTAAATGGCTGCAACAGCCAGGTCTGGGCCAAGTCGAAGCCAGGAGCCAGGAGCTTCATCTGGGTCTCCCACATGGGTGGCAGGGGCCCAAGCACTTGAGCCATCTTCCACTGCTTTCCCAGGCACATTAGCAAGGAGCTGGATGAGGAGTGGAGCAGCCAGGGCAGGAACTGGCACCTATGTGGAATGTTGGCGTGGCAGGTGGCAGCAGCTTAACCCACTATTGCACAATGCCAGCTCCTCACCTTCAGCTTCTAAGTACAGTAATGTAAAGATCTATCTGTGCCTGTGTAGTTCTGCTTGTGTGTGTACACATGTGTACATATATGTGTATGCAAGTGTGTGTGTGTGTGTGTGTGTGGTGTTTTGGAATGAGCAGTTACTAGTCTTGTGGCTTGGCCTTAGACTGATGCTTCAGAAAATACAAAATTAACCTTTATTCTGAGCCTAACTCGTCCACTTCAGCTCACACACTGACATTTCTCTGGCCTCATATCTTATTAGAGAGTCTCATAAGTCGTCAAGTTTTCCTCTTATCCTGGGCTGCCAGGAATCTCAGAGTCCAGTGCCAGCCCACGTTGCCTACCCTAACTATCATCCCCCTGCCACACCACTACCCCTATCTCATGCCCATCATCTGGTATTTGGCCTTTGATCTTTTATCTTTCCTTCGATACTTTTTTTTTTTTTTTTGGACAGGCAGAGTGGACAGTGAGAGAGAGAGAGAGACACAGAGAAAGGTCTTCCTTTTGCCGTTGGTTTACCCTCCAATGGCCGCTGTGGCCGGTGCACTGTGGCTGGCACACCGCACTGATCCAATGGCAGGAGCTAGGTTCTTCTCCTGGTCTCCCATGGGGTGCAGGGCCCAAGCACTTGGGCCATCCTCCACTGCACTCCCTGGCCACAGCAGAGAGCTGGCCTGGAAGAGGGACAACCGGGACAGAATCCGGCTCCCTGACCGGGACTAGAACCCGGTGTGCCGGCGCCACAAGGTGGAGGATTAGCATACTGAGCCACGGTGCTGGCTGGATACGGTTTTTACAATAAGCTACCCCATGGCCTTTCTGGAGAAAATACGAATAAAAGGAAAAGAACTGAATTATCTTTGGACAACTTTCCAGTTTGGAGCCGCCCTGGAGTTGACTTCCTCCTTGAGAAAGGCTGCTCTGGGGCTGGTGCCCTTCAGCGGGGCGATGAGCGCAGCATGCCAGGTGGTGAGACCTCTGCCCCACAACCTGCTCCCCGCGAGCTGTGTATCCTCCGCCTCCCTAGGTGGAGTTCTCCACTAGAAAATGATGACAGGGCTTGCTCCTTCTCTCTGCTACACTCGTGTTAGAGGATCAATGGGACAGCATCCATAAAGTACTTTGAGCTCCTCGGGGAGCGGCGCTCCATAACTATAATTACCATTATCGACAGCAGTAAGGAATTGCAGTCGGCTTCTCGGGGAACAGCTCCTCCTCCTCCGTGTCTGCCCAGCTCTGCAAAGGTGACTGCAACACCTGCTGGGCTCGCACGCTGGCGGCCTTTTCCTTCTGCTAGAGGCCGGTTAGCCACTGGTTCTAGCGCATGTCCAAAGTTCCAGGACAAAAGAGAATGCTCAAAATGTAATAGAAGGCTGCAAACAACAGCCCATCAGCACCGCCATTGAAGGAATGCTTAAGCATCAGGGTAAACTGGCATATTGTGGGGACAGCCGGCACTAGGTGGCGTGACGCCCAGATCCAGTCAGCTAGTCTACACAAGCTAATCCTTTCCCTCGTTAGGACACGCTTGTATAAGAGCCCATTCTTCATGCTGGAAAAAAATAAATAAATAAATGATGTCCACGTCCATAAAGCTGTCAAAGATTTTGAATGACCCCGTGAAAACTCCTTTCACTCAAAGTCCATGTGATCTCAGAGGAGAGCCAGGCTCCAGTCCATAATGTAGCTCTGCCACCCCGCTGAGACTGCTGCCCCCTCTCTTATCTGACTGCTGATGTTGCTACATCATCTTCAGCTCAGCCGAAATTCACAGGCGAACTCCTCTTCGGACAGCTCTGATTCCTCCCTAATCTGCTCTTTGCGATAGACAGAATTTTAAGAAGGCTTTCTGATATAGTGCACCAGATTTGACTCTCTGTGATTTCTCCTTTTTAATTTGACTATTTTTTTTTATTTTCTTGAAGGCAGAAAGAACAAAGGAGACAGAGACAGACAGAGATCTCCTACAAGAGCTGGGGCTGAGCCAGACTGAAGTCAGGAGCCCAGAACTCAATCTAGGGCTCTCATGTGGGTATCAGAGACCCAGCTACATAATGAGCCATCACTTGCTGTCTCCCAGGATGCACAGTAACAGGAAGTCAGAATCGAGAGCCAAGCCAGGCTCAAACCCGGGCACTCCAATATAGGATGCAAGCATCCCAACCAGCATCTCTCTTGTGGTTTTGAAGAATTATTTATTGGGGCTGGTTCTATGGTGCGGTGGGTTAAAGTCCTGCCTGCAGTGCCGATGTCCCATATGGGTGCTGGTTCGAGTCCCGGCTGCTCCACTTCCAATCCAGCTCTCTGCTATGGCCTGTGAAGGCAGTGGAAGATGGCCTAGGTGCTTGGGCCCCTGCACCCACATGGGGGACCTCGAGGAAGCTCCTAACTCCTGGCTTCGGATCGGCTCAGCTCCAGCCATTACAGTCATTTCGGAGTGACCCAGCAGATGGACGACCTCCCTCTGTCTCCCTCCCTCTCTCTCTCTCTCTCTCTGTGTGTGTGTGTGTGTGTGTGTATACCTCTCTCTGTAACTCTGTCAAATAAATAAAATAAATTTTTGGAAAAAAATAATTATTTATTTAACTGAAAGTCATAGTTACAGAGAGAGAGAGAGAGAGAGACCTTCCATCCACTGATTCACTCTCCAAGTCAGGAGCTTCTTCCAGGTCTCCCACGTGGGTGGCAGGGGCCCAAGCACTTGGGCCATCTTTCGCTGCTTTTCCCAGGCCATCAGCAGGAAGCCAGATCAGAAGTGGAGCAGCCAGGACTCAAACTGGCGCCCATATGGGATGCTGGTGTCATAGGCACTGGCTTTACCTGCCACACCACAGCGCCAGCAACCCCAACCAGCATGTTAACCACTGCACTAGACGCCTGCCCCAAGACTGCATTTTTAACATGTTAGGTCCTCTGATTCCTTCTCCAGCGACTCTGTTTTGGATATTTTCATCCATCCTTTTCTGACCCCAAAAAACGCCAAGACAGATCCTAAAATCACACAGCATTTTTTCAGTTCCAGAGAAAGCACATTTGCCTGCTATTTAAAACAATATGGGCACAGCTGTGGGAGCAGTGTTGGTATAATAACAATGGTTCCCCCAAAACTTCTAAAACTGAACTAAACAAGATGGTTTCTGGGTTAGGAGACTGCAGAGCCAAGACAAGCAAGCAAACAAGAATAACAGAAAACAATTCACCCGCATATGTTGTTCCAAGATTCATTTGGGTACAAATGAAAAATATACTGTACGAAGCATCCCACATGCAATGTAACATCCATGAATGCCAGGAAATGTGGTTTCAGAGTCTTGAAATTCAACTGCAAACTTGCATTACCACTTAGGAAAGGGGAGGGCCGCATGAAGTGACAAGTTTTCTTGGAGTCTTGGAGGCTCTTTTTTAGCCAAATTGCTGGTTTGCGACAGCTCATTATCTTCGTAAGAACACGAATTGCAGACTTGTCACTTTGCACGCAGATTCAGCTCCAGCACACGCTGACTGATGAGGTGTCTGCCGTCCCCAGGCAGCAGCCCCACGCCTGGTCTTTGCTACACAGTCAGACCCAGAGCAAAGTCCTCTCCAGGGATTAGCGTCGGTGCTTTCTAGCTGGGTGACGGTGGAATGAGTGTTATGGATGAACGCACTTTCGGCAGAAAGCAAGAATCTCACTTACAAAGAGGTCGCACTCTTTGATTGAAGGCTCCTCGGGCACAGGACGTCACTTTAGTGGCTTCTGCCCCCTGACCTATCTTGGGGACTGCCACCTCCTTCTTCCACGTCGTCCAGCCACTCCCTTCCAACAAATGCTCTCCCGGATACTTGGAGGTAAGACTGAGACCACAGGTCTGGGAACCCTTTGTCACAGGTGTCAGCGTGGGTGGAACCTACCTGCCCAGGAGACGAGTAAATGCCTGGTGAGAAACAACAAATGGATGAAGGATTAAGCACTTGGATTATTTCATGCCTCTCTCAATATACTCTATTTTCCCGTGAAAGTTAATCTTCCCCGTTACCTGTGAGTGTATCACTATCCTCACTTGAATGGACGAGGAAACTGCAGCACTGAACTGGGGTCAGCGGCTTGTCCAGGCAGCTGGTAAGAGGTGATTCCAGCTTCTACACCACGCCAGGGGCTCCCTTCCTGGAACGGATTCCCTGGGCCACACCAGGCTCTATAGAGGATGCCTGCAAAAGGAAGCCTTGTGAGTTCAGGAAAACCTCTCTGCTCTCTCCAGCAGAGGGCAGTGGCGAGCAAATGAAATGCCAACCGCCCTCCATACCGTTTTTGAGGGGTGGGTGCTTGTCCAGTGGTTAAGACACCCAAATCGCACACTGGTGTTCCTGGGTTTGAGCCTCCGCTCTGACTGCTGACTCCAGCTTCCTGTGAATGCAGACCCTGGGAGGCAGCAGTGAGGGTTCAAGGAGTTGGGCACCTGTCACCCACAGGGAGACCTGGATTGAGTTCCTGGCCCCCCGGCCACTGGGGGCATTTGGGAAGTGAACTGGCTGATAGGAGCTCTCTCAATCTCTCTGTCTTCCAAATGAATTTTTCTCACTGTCTTCCCCAGATGGGCAAGTCTCCTTCCCTTTGCCTTACTTCCTCTACAGCTGTGTCTAAGGCAATCTTTAAAAAAAAAAATTAAAGATTTTATTCATTTATTTGAAAGGCAGAGTTACAGAGAGGCAGAGGAGGAGGGGGGGAGAGAGAGAGAGAGAGAGAGAGAGAGAGAGATAATCTTCCATCCACTGGTTCACTCCCCAAATTGCCACAACGCCCAGAGCTGGGGAGATCCAAAGCCAGGAGCCAGGAGCTTCTTCCAGGTTTCCAACGTGGATGCAGGGTCCCAAGCACTTGGGCCATCTTCCACTGCTTTCCCAGGTACGTTATCGGGGAGCTGGATTGGTGGTGGAGCAGCTGGGGCTGGGACTCAAACCAGCACTCATATGGGATCCGGCACTGCAGGCAGCAGCTTTAACTCTCTACTCCACAGTGCTGGCCCCTAAGGCAATCTTTGCCACACATTCTCCACACGGAAGACTGTGTTTCTCCCAACTGTAGGCACTCTTTTTGTTACTGATCCTGGCAAAGCATTGAGAAGGAGGTTGCCTTCTTTTGCAGGTGGAGTCCTGGTGTCTTAGAATTTCCAGAACCAAGGTCCCTCCTGGATCACTAGACCCTTGCAGCGAGAGGCAGCTCAGCAGCAGTGCAATTGCAACACGTCCCTGTGCGAGGCTACTTGGCAGACAGGAGATACACTGTGTCCTGTTGACATGGTGGTCACATCAACCCACCATCGAGCAAGTTGGTCTGAGCGGGTCCTCAGGGCCACCTGTGACCTACCTCTGCCGAACAGCAGTGGAACGTTTCCAGACTAGTTCTTGCAATATGGTTTTGTTGTGTTACATCCTATTTGGTTGTGGCGATCTTTTTTTTTTTTCTTCTTAAAAAAAAAATAGGGGTCCAAAGCTGTGTCATGGTAGGGTGAGCCTCCACCTGTGATGTCAGCATCCCATATGAGCACCAGTGCATGTCCTGGCTGCTCTTCTTCCAATCCAGCTCTCTACTGTGCCCTGGAAAGCAGTAGAAGATGGCCCAAGTCCTTGGGCCCCTGCACCCACTTGGGAGACCCCAAGGAAGCTCCTGGCTCCTGGCTTTGGATTGGCACAGCTCCAGCCATTGTGGCCATTTGGGGAGTGAACCAGCGGGTAGAAGACCTCACTCTGTCTCTCTCTCTCTGTCTGTAACTCTGTCTCTAAAATAAATAATCTTTTTTAAAAACACTAAAAATAAATAAGTCCCCCAGAAGATTCTGTTCCATGTACTTAAAATGTGGCTGGGCTAGGTAACGCTCACCCTCTGTGTGTATGGTATTCCTGGTTCTCATGGTTGGGTCACGAGGACGAAGGGCAGCTGCGTCCGCCCTCCCCACTACCTTGGCTGCCTGCTGGCTTTTGCAAAGCTAGCATTTTGTTCCATCTCCACGGCCTGGTGCCTGGGACACCTGCCCCCTTTGTCCCCTCTTGGCCCACCATTAAGAAATCTCTAGAAATCAAATTAACTGTTGAGACTAAATTAATTTCTTCAACATTTACTTTCACATCATGTCATCTATTGATCAGATTATTTCCATGGATAGACAAACTGAGACTAAACCAAAGATAAACTCAATCCACTATCAATACACTGATTTGAATGAGATAAAAGATATTAAACTGCAAAAGCAGTGTGTGAGATAGAAATCAGGGGGATGCTTGTGTAACATATATTTAGATAAAATTATTTATTAGTTCAAAGAGTTTCTCTTGAGCAGCCCTCTATCCTTGGTGTGGGCAATTGGTATAGTGGTTAAGATGCCATATCCCACATCGGAATGCCCGGGTTCAAGTCCCAGCTCCACTTCAGATTCCAGCTTCCTGGGAGGCAGCAGGTGGATCCTTGCCACCCATGTGGAAGGCTTAGATTGAGTTTCAGGCTCCTGCCTTTGGACTGAAGGGCATTTGGGAAGTGAAGCAATGAACAGAAGATCTCTGTCTATCTTTCAAATAAGCTGAAACATAAAAAAAAAAGAAAAGAAAAAAAAACCCTCCATCCATTTGTATTTCTCATGTTTTCCATATGTGTTTAAGTTCTCCCTCATCTAGAGCAATTTCTTGGTAAAGAGCCAGGCATCTTTGGGAGGAGAGACTGGGCGTCACAGAGGCGAAGGACTCACCAGAACATTCCACTGGGGTTCACCTCACGGTCACTCGCACACACCCTGACTCGGTAGGGAATGGCTGGCAGAGCCTACGAAGCACTTTTGTTGAAATCATGACACTACTCACTGATCCTTCTTGTACATGATTTCCTTCTTAAAACAACTGCCATGATCAATCAGGAGAGGTTTGCTGCAGAGAAAAGAAGAAATTTCGTGTTCCAGTGAAGACAGGTTCTCACAGACTGTCATAGAGCCACAGACAATGATGGCAAGAGCTCACTTGAAGGTCTGTATGAGCTAAGACAACTGTTGGCCAAAAGCAGAGTCAACCCAAAGAGGTAAGCCAGAGCAATCGGGGTGTGCCTTCAGAAAATCCAAGCCTAGAAACAAAGACTCAGCAACAAAAGGAACCCCTTGTGCTCAGCACCCATGTCCTTCCCATCACCACCAGCCACACACTCCTGCCCCTTGGGCAATGCCCCATGGGTAATGCCCGGCACCCCAGGCTGATGACTGTGGAGGGAGTCCAAGGAGCATTTTATTGCTGCCCTTCCTGGACAGCATCGGGAGCTGTAATGATCTTCAGCCACACTGCACAGAATTTTCAAGACATTGCTTCTTTATATTTGTTGTCAAAGCTTGGAATTCCTATGCTCATACAGCAAGGAGTCCCTTTCAGCATACCTCAGCTCCACCATGCCTCTACCCCGGTGATCTGCTCTGAGGAACCCAGAGCCAGGAGTCTGGTGCATACTCTGGACTTCTCTCATTGCTCATACATGGGCACTCCTGCAGACACGTGCTCATGTAGGGGGTTTACTGGGAAGCCAAACCACACTCTACATGTGACTCTGCAACTCGGCTTTCCCCCTGGACAAGGTCATGGACAGAAAACTAAGTAATGTGAGGGTGCAGAACCAAGGCCAACGAATGAGCAACCAGTCTTGGTAAATGGAAGTCTTATTGAAACATAACTATACCCACTCATTTATATTGTCCATAGTAGCTTTTGTCCTGCAATATACAGCCAGATAGTTATGACCAGAACCAGAAGATTCAAAACCTCAGATATGAGATTACTCCCCAAAATTCATGGAAATTGCATAGTATGAAAAAAATTATTCATGGATCCCCATTTTTTTAACACCAAATTAAACTTGTCTTTTAGCTCCATTTTTCCACAACCTTTTTGAAAGACTCTCATATGCACTACCTAGACCTTTAAGGAAAAAATTTGCTGAACCCTGGCTTCAAACAACAACCATTTACTGCTTCATGGTCCTGTAAGTTAGCACCACGAGCAGGGCTCAGCTGATCAGTTCTTCTTCCATTCTTCTCAAGACTCGTTCATGTGAAACAGTCATTAGGCTGCTGACCCCACCTGCAAGTTGAGAGCTGATGCTGGCTCTCAGCCCAGCAACATATGGCCAGCAGATTTCTTTGCATGGTAGCAGCATGCCTAAAGGGTGGGATTTTTGATTCAACAAATCAAATTCCAGGCAGGTGTTTGGCATGACGATTAAGACACTGGTTAGGATACACATGTTCCGCATCAGAGCGCCTGGGTTTGACTCCTGACTCTGGCTCCTGACGCCAGTTTCCTGCTAATGCAGACCCTGGCAGGCAGCAGCAATGGCTCAAGGAGTTGGCTTCCTGCTCACTACATGGGAGACCAGGGCTGATTTCCAGCTTCAGCCTGGGTCAGCTTCACCATTGTGGGCATTTGAGGAGTGACCCAGAAGCTAAAAGTGTTCTCGCTCTCTCTCTCTCTCTCTGCCCCTCAAATGAATAAATAAATAAATTTTTAAATAATAAAAATTAGGGGCCGGCACCACAGCTCACTAGGCTAATCCTCCGCCTGCGGCACCGGCACTCCGGGTTCTAGTCCCGGTTGGGGCGCCGGTTCTGTCCCGGTTGCTCCTCTTCCAGTCCAGCTCTCTGCTGTGGCCTGAGAAAGCAGTGGAGGATGGCTCAAGTGCTTGGGCCCTGCACCCGCATGGGAGACCAGGAGGAAGCACCTGGCTCCTGGCTTCGGATCGGCGCAGAGCACCGGCCATGGCGGCCATTTGGGGGGTGAACCAATGGAAGGAAAACCTTTCTCTCTGTCTCTCTCTCTCTCACTGTCTAACTCTGCCTCTCAAAAAAAAAAAAAAAAAAAAATTAGGGGAGCTGGCGCTGTGGCGCAGCAGGTTAAAGCTCTGGTTGGCAGTGCCAGCATCCCAAATGGGTGCTGGTTCAAGTCCTGACTGCTCCACTTCCAATCCAGCTCCCTGCTAATGTTCCTGGGAAAGCAGTGGGGGATGGCCCAAGTCCTTGGCGTGGGAGATCCGGAAGAAGCTCCTGGCTCCTGACTTCAGATCGGCTCAGCTCTAGCTGTTGCAGCCATTTGGGGAGTGAACCAACGGATGGAAGACCTCTCTCTCTCTCCCTCTCTCTCTCTCTCAGTCTCTACTTCTCTCTGTAACTCTGTCTTTCAAATAAATAAAC